GGTTACGGGTCGACCCGCACTTCACTACTCAGCTCAGTCTATAAATGCTGTACACACAACAGTAAGGCTATAGACATTATATTCTATTCAGGCCGGCAGAACCAGCAGCGCATTGGCTCTACAGTACACGGCACTGCTGATTAACCATTTTATTGCAGCACAGTTTCTGCCAGCAACCAATTACTTGCAGAGGCTTCCTACAACTTGTTTCAACAGTTCCGATTTAATCAGAAGACAAAGTAAACAGGATGACTAGCCAATGTGAAAATCAAAAGAAAGCATAGAATAAATAAATAAGCATAATAAATAATTGTGGTTTGAGAGCAAAGATCTGGTCGCCGCAAACCCCCCCCCCCCGTTACGAATATTCGTTACGAATTCTGCCGAAGGTCCGAATGTTAAAAAATGGTATTCGGGACAGCCCTAATAATTATAATTATAATTACGACTATTGTGGTACAATATGTTGAAAGTATATATTAATATCTGATAGTAGCACATATATGACAATAATCATATGTGTATAATAACAGTAGAAGTATGACTAATGATAACAGCAGCAGGAGGCATCTGGCAGGACCACGGCAGCAGCACAACCACACACATCACACTANATGTGTATAATAACAGTAGAAGTATGACTAATGATAACAGCAGCAGGAGGCATCTGGCAGGACCACGGCAGCAGCACAACCACACACATCACACTATCCAGGCACCACTGCGATATAAGTTAACCTGCTAGACAGTGGAGCACAAAGGCTCCGGAGAAGAAGCCCAGTTGTCGAGTTGTGCGGCCGAGTTGTGCGGCTACCTGGAGCTATATGATAGTACATGTCTACTTTACAGAGACTGCAACAAAAAGGAGCAGGCTTGAGTGAAAGTCGCCGAGGAGACTGGTCTACTTGGTAAGTTCTGTAAATATGTGTCTTTAATTAGTTTGCAGAACGGTTGTACTATGAACGTTAGCACTAGCTTAGCTCCAGTTAGCACAGCCGGCTTCCCCGCTACTCGTGCGAATGACGTGATAACGCGAATTAACAAAATGGTCCAGCGTCCAAACTCGCGCGAGTAATTCGCTTCACTCGCGCCCGGTGTGAACGCAGCTTAAGATATGACACCTCGCGAGAACTGCCACCTGCAGTAGCCTGGGTGGCAGTTGTCGTGAGATTAGTGTCGACAGCGGGTCTGGTTGACAAGTGGTTATTTTAGATTTCCTGTACACCTGTCATAAAATGTAAGGGATACTGGAGCTTGGTTGGGGTGGTGGGATGGCTCGCAGCGGGTGCCGGAAAATTATTGTATATTAAAAAAATTAAAATAAATTATTTTCAAATCCAAAACTTGACAGGTATGGCAGAGGCACACAACTGTGGGGCAGTCATTCTAGTTTCTCTAATAACCTAAGATCCAAATGTTAAGGAGTTTTTAACTGGGAGTACAGAAATCTCTTCCTCTCCAAAACCAGTGACCTAGGTGTTTTAAACCAGTAAAAGCACTAATTAAAGCAAAAAATCTGCATTTTTCTGTTGCTGTTCATAGTGGAGGGGCTGCTAGCTACAGTGGCCCACATGAAAATGCAAAAACACGGATGTCCCTCTCTAGAGACAGTGTTTTGGTTGTCCATTCTGAGCTACTGAAAAAACATGGCGGTGCAACATGACCATCTCGGTGGATGAGGGCCTGCTCCTTATGTACAGTACAGGCCAAAAGTTTGGACACACCTTCTCATTCAATGCGTTTTCTTTATTTTCATGACTATTTACATTGTAGATTCTCACTGAAGACATCAAAACTATGAATGAACACATGTGGAGTTATGTACTTAACAAAAAAAGGTGAAATAACTGAAAACATGTTTTATATTCTAGTTTCTTCAAAATAGCCACCCTTTGCTCTGATTACTGCTTTGCACACTCTTGGCATTCTCTCCATGAGCTTCAAGAGGTAGTCACCTGAAATGGTTTCCACTTCACAGGTGTGCCTTATCAGGGTTAATTAGTGGAATTTCTTGCTTTATCAATGGGGTTGGGACCATCAGTTGTGTTGTGCAGAAGTCAGGTTAATACACAGCCGACAGCCCTATTGGACAACTGTTAAAATTCATATTATGGCAAGAACCAATCAGCTAACTAAAGAAAAACGACTGGCCATCATTACTTTAAGAAATGAAGGTCAGTCAGTCCGGAAAATTGCAAAAACTTTAAATGTGTCCCCAAGTGGAGTCGCAAAAACCATCAAGCGCTACAATGAAACTGGCACACATGAGGACCGACCCAGGAAAGGAAGACCAAGAGTCACCTCTGCTTCTGAGGATAAGTTCATCCGAGTCACCAGCCTCAGAAATCGCAAGTTAACAGCAGCTCAGATCAGAGACCAGATGAATGCCACACAGAGTTCTAGCAGCAGACCCATCTCTAGAACAACTGTTAAGAGGAGACTGCGCCAATCAGGCCTTCATGGTCAAATAGCTGCTAGGAAACCACTGCTAAAGAGAGGCAACAAGCAGAAGAGATTTGTTTGGGCCAAGAAACACAAGGAATGGACATTAGACCAGTGGAAATCTGTGCTTTGGTCTGATGAGTCCAAATTTGAGATCTTTGGTTCCAACCGCCGTGTCTTTGTGAGACGCAGAAAAGGTGAACGGATGGATTCCACATGCCTGGTTCCAACTGTGAAGCATGGAGGAGGAGGTGTGATGGTGTGGGGGTGTTTTGCTGGTGACACTGTTGGGGATTTATTAAAAATTGAAGGCACACTGAACCAGCATGGCTACCACAGCATCCTGCAGCGACATGCCATCCCATCCGGTTTGCGTTTAGTTGGACGATCATTTATTTTTCAACAGGACAATGACCCCAAACACACCTCCAGGCTGTGTAAGGGCTATTTGACCAAGAAGGAGAGTGATGGAGTGCTGCGGCAGATGACCTGGCCTCCACAGTCACCGGACCTGAACCCAATCGAGATGGTTTGGGGTGAGCTGGACCGCAGAGTGAAGGCAAAGGGGCCAACAAGTGCTAAACACCTCTGGGAACTCCTTCAAGACTGTTGGAAAACCATTTCAGGTGACTACCTCTTGAAGCTCATGGAGAGAATGCCAAGAGTGTGCAAAGCAGTAATCAGAGCAAAGGGTGGCTATTTTGAAGAAACTAGAATATAAAACATGTTTTCAGTTATTTCACCTTTTTTTGTTAAGTACATAACTCCACATGTGTTCATTCATAGTTTTGATGCCTTCAGTGAGAATCTACAATGTAAACAGTCATGAAAATAAAGAAAACGCATTGAATGAGAAGGTGTGTCCAAACTTTTGGCCTGTACTGTATATATAAACGGCTCAGCCTAAGATAACAAAAATACATCAGTTTTTGTTTGTTTATTTTAAAGGTGCTTATACACTAAGAAAACATACTTATTATGTTATATACCATTTCTGCCAGTATATCCTACTAAATCCTACACACTGGACATTTAAATACGAAAAGAGCAAAAATAATAAAAGAGGTGAATCCCAGAAATCAGTGGATGCTAACAAAATAAGAACAAATTGTGAATATGAGCAAAAATAAGAGAAAATGTGTTGTCACGTTATTCAGGATGCTGATCATATTTCTATTCTTTTTCTCTAAATAAGGTGCTTTGCTGAATGAAGTTCAGCAGATTGAAGGGGCTGTGGCTCAGAGGTAGAGTGCGTCGTCCACCAATTGGAAGCAAGATACTGAACCCCAAATTGCTCCCGATGGCTGTTCCATTGGTGTGTGAGTGTGTTAAAAAAACTGAGTAACAGGTGGCTTTGAGTGGTCAGATGACTAGAAAGATGCCATACAAATGCAGGTCCATTTACCATTTACCAAAGCAATTGGTGGCTGGGAAGGGATTTGGAAGGCTGGGCACATTTGGATAATTGGGCATATTCTGATGTTCAGTCAGCAGGCTCCATCCGTGTGTTCACCATTCATGCGTTCTGCAGCAGATGTTGAGAACCAACAGTACAACAACCTCACAGCTGATAATAATAAAAGCTTGCCATACACTATTAAAATATAATAGTATCTCTGACCCTGTTTCCAATGAAGTAATATAAGTCTTCTTGCTAAAAGGGTGACATAAGCAATGCAATTTGCCTGTACCTTAGGAAGATGACTGTCTTCACACTGAATACCAAAAATTGCTGTAAGGGGATTTGGATCAATTACTGACAAATCCTCTATTTTTAACCAGTAATCTATTAACTTTTGGATTTCAAATGTGCTTGTTAACTGATAAAATTCAGCATGTTATTGTCTGAGAGTGACGATCCAGTCCACTTAGTCACTCCAGCTGAACCAGCTTAATTAATCACAGAGAGGAATTTTTTAACAACAGTCTGGACTGACCTGTGACCCCCACGTGAAACATGGAATGTAAGGGACACAATGTACAAACTACTACCAACCAACCTTTTTTTTTTTTTTTTTTTTACAATTTCTCTTAGCCGTGAGTTTATTGGCATGTGGTGTTGAACTTTGCCCACAACAGTGGAGCTTTTAGCCAGTGGCAGTGCTTTGTTTGTGAGTCCAGCCTGTTCTCATTGTGTGGGGAGAGGAATCAGGAGTGGCTTGTTAATATCAAAATCAAGTATCAAATATCAAATCAAGCTGTCAGCTGGTTCCACTACAGACACTCTGCTGGTCAGTGAAAGTGAGACAAGAGGAAAGGGGACACATTTTATTTATCTTTTCTTTCCTCACGCTTTTGCCTTGGCCATCTGTTGCTTTGGCCATTTGACGCTTTCTGATTGACTTCCATAAACTCCAGTGTTTCCCCCTTGGTTTACTGCTTGGGGGGGGGGGGGGGGGGGGGGGGGGGGGGGGGGGGGCAACGTGACGTAACGTAAAACTTAACTTAACTATATCAGGTAACAAACTACGTCAAGCTCGGGTCAGGTTCAGACTTAAAAATCAGAAAGCTTGTCGGGTTCGGGCCGGGCTCGGTTATAATTGTGTCAGACTCCGGTTGGGTTCAGTCAGGAAAATGTGCCCCCCCCCTTATATAATGGTAGGGGAAACACTGAACTCTGCATGTATTTATGTGTGTGTGTGTGTGTGTGTGTGTGTGTGTGTGATAGACAAACTGAGTGTGAGTGAGTGTGTTTAACAGGACTAGTGGTGCACAGTATGCCTGGTTGCTATTGTATTTATAATGAAATATTCTGCCTCAGTGGATTCAAGATGTTTACCCTGGACTCCTCTGTGTATGTGTGTGTGTGCACGCACTTGTGTTTGTGTGACCCAACAGTCATACAGTCTGTTGACAGTGTGTGTGTGGGTGTGTGGATATGTAACACAGCTCCACGCTTCCTCTCCCCTCAGATAAAGAGGAACTCTTTCAGAATGTACTGACGCAAGTAGCAGAGCAGTTTTCAAGGTAAGCAGCTGGCTCAGTGTGTTCTTACAGCAGCAAATCTTCACTGTTAACTTGTTTTACTGCACCAATTAGTGTGGAGCTATTACATGTGGATATTTTCTCAGTTTTGTATATTCATTAATGAAAATAATTACTTTAGCTTCCATTACTGTCTTTACACATCTTCCTCCTTTAATCAGGTTGCTAATTCTTGTGAGTTTTTTCATGTACTGTTAATTTTTGGCGTTGGGAGAAGACCTAACAAAAAAAACCTTGTTTTGTAACTTAGTGATGATGTATCTTTTATGCAAGTGAAGAGGCGGGAGCTCTGCCTCGAATTATGCAGCAGCAATCCTTCATTGTAAGAGTAACAAGGTTTTCATCCTGCAGCTACAACATATGAACATTACTGGGTGTTGTGATGCTGCTCTCTCTCTTAATCAGCTCATTTATATCTGCCTCTCAGCTTTGTCTTTGCACTTTTTACTAATCTTCCCCACTGACTCCAGATATTATTTCACTGCTCCTTCTCTTCAGTTCTCGTATCATGTTTTTTATTCACCCCAGTCACACATCATGTATATGGAGTTTTGTTGGTCTCAAATTCAGTGATACATACAGTAGGAGCAGACATGCACAGGAAAGGACACTGGTGCAAAGGAAACAATGCAGAATGAATAGGCAGATATGATATGAAGTTGTGTAATATGGTCTGATAATGATAAGGTCTGATAATTTCTCGGTAGTTACAGCAACAGTGGTGGCACTGTTAGAGTAATTACATAAACTAATGAGAATCAATTGTAGGGGTGTAGTAATTATTTCCTCGTACTCGTACTCGTCGTCCTCCGCTTATCCGGGGCAGCAGCCTCAGCAAAGAAGCCCAGACAGTCCTCTCCCCAGCCACTTCCGTCAGCTCTTCTGCGGGAACCCCGAGGCGTTCCCAGGCCAGCAAGATGATGTAATCCCTCCAGCGTGTACTGGGGAAGCCCCAAGGTCTCCTCCCGGTTGGACATGCCCGAAACACCTCCCAAGGGAGGCGTCCGGAAGGCATCCTTACCAGATGCCCGAACCACCTCAACTGGCTCCTCTCGATGTGGAGGAGCAGCGGCTCTACTCAGAGTCCCTCCCGGATGTCCGAGCTCCTCACCCTATCCCTAAGGCTGAGCCCAGCCACCCTGCGGAGGAAACTCATTTCGGCCGCTTGTACTCGCGATCTTATTCTTTCGGTCACTACCCAGAGCTCGTGACCATAGGTGAGGGTTGGAACGTAGATCGACCGGTAAATCGAGAGCTTCGCTTTCTGGCTATGCTCCCTTTTCACCACAACGGACCGGTTAAACGCCTGCATCACTGCTGACGCCGTCCCAATCCACCTGTCAATCTCCCACTCCATCCTACCCTCAGTTGTGAACAAGATTCCGAGACCCACCCTTTTCCAGCTGAGGACCATGGCCTCAGACTTGGAGGTGCTGATTCTCATCCCAGCCACTTCACACTCAGCTGCGGTCAGCAAGAGCTGGAGGTCACTGTTCGATGGAGCTAGGAGGACCACATCATCCACAAAAAGCAGGGACGAGATCCTCCCGTCACTGAACCCGACACCCTCCACCACTCGGCTGCGCCTAGAAATTCTGTCCATGAAAGTTATGAACAGAACCGGTGACAAAGGGCAGCCCTGGCGGAGTCCAACCCTCACCGGGAACAGGTCTGACTTACTGCCGGCCACGCGAACCAGACTCGCGCTTCTTCGGTACAGGGACTGGATGGCCCTTAGCAAGGGGCCACCAACCCCATACTCCCGGAGCACCCCCCACAGGATGCCCCTGGGGACACGGTCATAAGCCTTCTCCAAATCCACAAAACTCTCTGTGGACTGGTTGGGCGAACTCCCATGCCCCCTCCAGCACCCTGGCGAGGGTAAAGAGCTGGTCCACGGTTCCGCGTCCGGGATTATTTGTAATTTCAATTTATTATTTTATTTGAATAACAATTCAAAAAATGAATTCAGTTTTGAGATGCAGATTATAAATCCTGGAAAATGATTTTCATATAATTTCATAAATAACCTAAAACAATGAGCTGATTATGGAAGCTGTTGATTTTATGCTGATAGACTATAATGAATTTATCTAAGAACCACTGCAGTTCTGTTGCATATTACGTTAAGTTTTGTTTTTGCAGATACACTTAATATACAAGTTTGAGCAGAAAAGTTAAGAGATTTTTTGTTGCTGTAGAAACAGAGTGTCAGATGCAGATTTCAACTATTTTTAAATCATTTCTTCATTTCATCATTGTCCAACATGTGGGATCTGTTCACAGGGTGTTCAAGATCAATGAGCTTAAGACTGAGGTTACCAACCGCCTTGCCATGTTGGAGAAGAGAGTAGAGCGTAAGTCTGTTCCCACCACCCCACCGACATATTTACACACCTCTGTCATCAACTGTAATACTCACAAAGAAACACCTTTGCCAGAAAAAGGAATACAGTATTAGTACAGGAATTTTTATGCCTCTGTGCCACAGGCATTGCTTTCAGGTTGTCCATTCGTCTGTACATCGCATTCTCGTAAACACAATATCTCAAGAACACCTTGAGTGAATTTCTTCAAATTTTGCACATACACTCACTTGGACTGAAGAATTAACTGACTCAACGACGAACTGAGCAGATTTTGGTGGTCGTAGGTCAGAGGTCAAGGTTAGTGTGACCTTGTCTGTCTTATACTTGTGAATGCGATATGTCAAGAATGCCTTGAGGGAATTTTGTCAGATTTGGCACATACACTGGTAGGGATGGGAATTGATAGGATTTTATTGATATCATGGCATTATCGATTCTGCTTATCGATCCGATTCTTTATCGATTCCTCCTGTGAATATTCTGTGTAGAAACCTTACAGGTTTTCGCTGTCAGCAACACAAATTTTTTTGAGTTTCTATTCTAAACAAGAGATAAGTGCTTGTGTAAGTAAACAAATATGAAATTGGTCCACCGCTATCATCTAAAATGGAACAAATGAATGAATATTTGTACAGCATTTGTTTTCACCTACATCAAATAATGTTACACAATGACAAATGCTTCAGCATGTTCGTGGTAGGGCTGCACGATATTGGGAAAAATTGACTGCAATTTTTTTTTGCCCCCAGCGATATATATATTGTGATTTAAATTTTTTTAAGGATGCATTATTTTCCACCAGATGACTTCAGTAGCTCTACTTGGTGAGAATTAATCATTCTGGAATTATTAGGCTGATATTGCTTTGAATTTAACAGCATAAAATGCGCTGAAAATAGGCACTGTATAGAAAGTCTATGGAGTGGAGCCTGTGTTGCGTTCAGGCATTGTCACATAAATAACAAAAGGATGTGAAGTATTCATGTTTTCACAGACGTAGATGTAAACTGTAAGGGAAACTTGACTGGTGTGTGTAGGCATACAACCATGGGGTGGTAATTCTAGTTGTAAACTGACAACCATTTCTCTTGGTAAAAACAAAGCTTTTATTTACTTTTGATTCACAGATAAGAAACAATAAATTGTAAAAACAATAAACCCTCTATACAACGGCATTTGTGTGTGATTTATCCTGGCTTCATATAAGTTAAGGAAAAGTCTGTGAGACACTAGGCTAATTTATGCAATCAGAAATGTCACTGGCTTATGCTAATAACAGTACATTTTTTAGTGTTGGCGCTATCTTGAAAGGATGCACCGCTTTGGAGGGTCAAGCAACTGTATTTGGAGAATCAGTCACTAATTACGATACCACTTGTGGTATTGCAGCAAAAAGATCCCCTGCTCCCCTAAAAGCATTTTTCCCACACCACTGACAGGACACCTCAACCTGCACACAGGGTCACTGATGACTCTTTCTATTCTTAACTTTTGATCTATGAAGGTTTTGTATTTGTGAACATTCCTGGAATCAAGAAAAATGATTTAAAAATCTGTAATGTAAAGTCTATTACCTGAGTGGGAACTGATGTGCAGGACCAGTGAGAGAAACACTACTGCACATATTCAGTGGGCAGTATATTGCTGAGGTAATCCCAGAACTAAGAACCTTTATTGGGCATATGTGCCAGGCAGGTCAACTTGATGGGATACACCATCTTCTACCTTTTTACAGCACTGATGCACGTCAGCTGTTCTGAAAAGCATTTTATCACTTCATTGAATGACATTGCTGTTATGTGTGAACCTAGAAGTCTACGGCCATGCTAGCAGCTATCTTACCATTGTATGGAGATGGATTTGTCAATCAATCAATCAATCAATTTTATTTATAAAGCCCAATATCACAAATCACAGAGCTTTACAGCATATGACATCCCTCTGTCCTTAGGATCCTCACAGCGGATAAGGAAAAACTCCCCCAAAAAAATCCTTTAACAGGGGAAAAAAACAGTAGAAACCTCAGGAAGAGCAACTGAGGAGGGATCCCTCTTCCAGGACAGACAGACGTGCAATAGATGTCGTACAGAAAAGATCAACATGATAAATTAACAGTAATCCGTATGTCACAATGAGACAGAGAGAGAGACAGAGAGAGAGACAGAGACAGAGAGAGATGCAGGACAGACGGGAATGAAAGTAGCTTACAACAACATTAATGAAAGTAATAATATTATAATTATAATTCTAGCTGTTGTGGTACAATATGTTAAAAGTATATATTAATATCTGATAGTATACATATGTGACAATAATCATATGTGTATAATAACAGTAGAAGTATGACTAATGATAACAGCAGCAGCAGGAGGCATCTGGCAGGACCACGGCAGCAGCACAACCACACACGTCACACCATCCAGGCACCGCTGCAATATAAGTTAACCTGAGAGACAGTGGAGCACAAAGGCTCCGGAGAAGAAGCCGAGTTAGTGACATCCAGAATGGCCGAGTTAGCAAGATGCAGTAACAGGACACGAGAGAGAGAGAGAAGGAGAGAAGGAGAGAAGGAGAGAAGGTGCCTGGTGTATTATAGGGGGTCCCCCGGCAGACTAGGCGTAAGTCAGCCTAACTAGGGGCTGGTACAGGGCAAGCCTGAGCCAGCCCTAACTATAAGCTTTATCAAAGAGGAAAGTCTTAAGTCTAGTCTTAAATGTGGAGACGGTGTCTGCCTCCCGGACCGTAACAGGAAGATGATTCCACAGGAGAGGAGCCTGATAGCTGAAGGCTCTGGCTCCTGATCTACTTTTGGAGACTTTAGGGACCACGAGTAACCCTGCGTTCTCAGAGCGCAGTGTTCTGGTGGGATAATATGGCACTATGAGCTCTCTAAGATATGACGGAGCCTGACCATTTAGAGCTTTATAAGTTAACAGTAGGATTTTAAATTCAATTCTGGATTTTAAAGGGAGCCAGTGCAGAGAAGCTAAAACAGGAGAAATATGTTCTCGTTTCTTAGTTCCTGTTAGTATACGTGCCGCTGCATTCGGAATTAGCTGGAGAGTTTTTAAGGACTTACTAGAGCTACCTGATAATAGAGAGTTACAGTAATCCAGCCTTGAGGTAACAAAACCATGGACCAATTTTTCTGCATCTTTTTGGGTCAGAATAGGTGTGCTGCCCCTTCTGGCATGCACACCTTCACCTAAAGGGGGCAGTAGTGTGACAACAGTTGAGTTGATTGATGATGTCTAGCAGCAGACAGAAGCAGACAGGCAGCAGCTAAACTCCTGCAGTTTCTATTGTTTCACAAGAGCTGAGAGAATATATGTCTGTAAATATTGTTGTACGTGTATGTATTACTGCCATGTTTGAGTTGAAATAAGCCGATTGACAGACTTATTTATAACAGACTAGATTTATAATTATAGCGGAAGCGATGCTAATTCCGTTAGCCCGTCTACGGAGTTTTACATTGTATGTTAGCATTAAGCTAGCGGACTTTATATTAAGCTAATGATTATGGCAGTAATGCTGTGTTAAAAGTACTTTGAAGGCTGTTTTAGAATATGTGGTTTAGTTAGTCATTTGTGTGCTTAAACATACTGTATGATTAATCATTTTTTGTTCTATGTTTGTTAGTTTTACAGTAAGCTTCATCTGGGAGTGACAAATTAACAGCTTGAACGAAGAACATTTGCCTCTCATTTGGGGAATTGTTAACTATCTGCCAGCCAAACACTACACGTTCAGGGAGGGCAGAATAATAGGCCTAATTTTCGCAATATTACGCAGATGAAGAAATGCAGTCCGTGAGGTTTGTTTTAAATGAGAATTAAAAGACAAATCTTGATCAAATATTACTCCGAGGTTTCTTACGGTAGCGCTAGAGGCCAGAGCAATGCCATCTAGAGAAACTATGTCATCAGATAAATAGTCTCTGAGTTGTTTGGGGCCAAGAACAATAACGAATAACAAAATAGTTTTGTCTGAATTTAACATCAGGAAAGTGGTGCTCATCCAGGTTTTTATGTCTTTAAGGCAATTATGAAGTTTAGTTAATTGATTACTTTCTTCTGGCTTCATCAATAAATACAACTGTGTATCATCCGCATAACAATGGAAATTTACAGAGTGATTTCTAATGATGTTACCTAAAGGAAGCATGTATAGAGTAAATAGGATTGGTCCGAGCACAGATCCTTGCGGAACTCCAAAACAAATTGTCTCAATATTATTTGTAAGAGAAGATTTAAAATCTGTGTGTTAATGTGTAATCTGTAAATATAAAACAACCTTCACAAATGCAAACAGATAAAACAGACCTGCAAATACACAAACAATTTCCCAGAAAAAAAAAAA